TAGTCATCCGTGACCTTGTCCAACATTACGTGGTTAATCAGCCGTCGCAAGGTCAAGTTGATGTTGACAAGTCGCACAGGGCATTTTATTCCTGATATCCCCAGGAGATCACCTTAGGTGACCGGATATGTTTAAAATTGGGAGCCACAAATGCCTCGGATCTAAAAATTGGACTTGCAAAACAATCTATAATATACAACATATATATAACCTCCACATGATCCACGAACCATTTCATATTTAGTTACTGTGGATGTGTATAAAAACCAAGAGCGGGGAATTGCTATAATTGTACTTTGTACACATGGAGATTGAAAGGGGGCGTGATATATCATAACTAGTACCAAGTAGGTTTAAAGATGTTTCAGTGCAAAGCCCCAATCTATACTCCGTCCTCTCCGTACTCCGTACGGAGTACTTCTGCACTATATGGAGTATAGCCGAGTTAGATGGAAAAGAAAAATCCCCGAGCTTTACTTTTTCTCTCTTAAACATCTTTTACATTTTCCATAGCGATATGCAATGTATAAGTCTCATTCTTAAACCATCTCAAGTTTCAAATTACTGAGGGGAGCCTTAATATGAGACGTTAGCGTCCGGAGCTAAGTCCAACCCCACTGATATAGTCGACATATGATTCGTCTACGGAGTAATTTGGCAGGGGGTCTCATGTTGGCCCCGACCTTTCATTCTCTTTTTTCCATTTTTTCCCATTTTCCCCTTCAATTTTTGATAAAAGTACAATGTTGAAAAGCCATCGACATGTCCGTATAGGTACGGAGTAGATCCGATACTCATCATAATGTGCTTTGAAGTATGTATAATGTATACATGAGTACGGAGTCCTCGGATATAAAGGACTTAGATTACAGGACTAAAGGAATTCCAAGAAATTAATAGTCCAGGGTTGATGTTTAGTATTAATATACTTCCCGTTTGAGAAGTGGACTAGTATCCATGCCAGGAACCGCGTTAACCCTGGGTGGTGTCAGCTTCAATACCTCTTTTTTTCCCTCCTTTTTCCCAACTTCCAAAGAGCTTGAGGCTCTCCCCTTTTGAAGTGTAAGTCTACAAAGTACCCAGGTCAAAGATTGGGGGTTAACCCAACTAGCCTTGAACGCCAGTTTGATACTAGCGGTTCCTCTCATTTTCTCCCCTTTTTGAACGGTAGGTCTCTCTAAAAGCAATTCCATGATCATTTAGAGCTGATCCTGACTATTATATCTAGTGGCATCGAATGCCCTTCCATTCATTTGCGATCTGATCCTGTGGATCTTGCTTTTCTAGATCGTGTTCATTGCTTTATCCACTTTCTACAATCTTGTAGACATTTGCTCAGTGGGCCAGACGCCATTTCTCTGGTTTCATTTCGGTGCCTTTTCATTCTTTTTCAACTCGATCAAGGTATCGAGCAATCATTCATTTCTATCCCTCAATATTCGAGAGACAATTCTCTCTTTTGAACCGCAGTATCACCACGCCACACTGGATACCCTGCGAGCCCTAACTTCTCGCAAACTATACAAGAGCATCCACCCCGGAATTCGATTTAGCCGTACTTCTTTCGACCAGACAACCAGACGACCTTCCAATGAGCACAGAAGTACCAAGCTCCGGGCCCTCAGGGGAGACTGGCAGGAGTGGATCCGTCAAGCGGGCCAGACAAATGCTGGATGCCGGCGTGCGTCCAGAACGAGCCTCGCCACCCCAGCAGATGGAACATCCTCCAGTTCCGAGGAATATCTCCCATCAAACACAATGGCCTCTTCCTGATTCGGGTCTCCCACCGCACCCGATCAATCAACATCCTAGGTATTTGGTTCCCCGTGGTCCTCCACCTCAGAGACCACCTCATCCAAGTGAACTCCCTTCGCCATCCATTTACTCAGAACGGGATGGCCCAATCTCAGAAATGAGCTTGAGTTCGAGCCAAAGACCTCCCCGTTCCTTCTCACAACTTCAGCCGCCTCCGCTAGCGCAGTCGCGCCGGCCGGTAAATGATGCCCCTACTAGTCCCACCAGCACAATCGACATGACTCCTCGAATATCGATTGCAACAGAGGATTTGTTTAGACAATCTGTGGCTTCGTCGACGCCTTCTGTTCCTGATATGCCCCAAGTTCCACCTACTTTTCTGATGCCCGAGTCCGGTCTTTCTCAGCATGACCCCAAACACCGGACGGCGGGTCTTGTGGCACCGCTCAATGCGCGAAAGCCTGGCCGGGATCATCAATCATCTGTTCCCCCAATTCCAGAATCATTCGCCGACTCTCGCTTTACAAAATGCTCCGTCGCGTCCAGCCGAGCCATCCCTTCAAGTTGGGGGTCTGGTCCCGCTGAATCCGAGATTCTAGGAGCATATCTCGACATAGATTCAGACGATGGCCAGCACTCACCGGGCCTTCAGGAGGACGATATGAGGCTTGTCCGAAGTGCCAGTATTGGAAAGCGAGGAAAGCCGACAATGCGTACCATCCTCAAGTCTAACCCTGTTTCCGTTGTAAGCATGCCATCGCCCACCCAGGAGGAATCCACCAAGAACACAGCAGTACCATCTGTTGGAATGGGAGTTGCTGCAAGCCAGGTGCCCCGTATGCCAAGTCAATTACGAAACTCGTCTACTACAGCATCGAGTGAATCGGTGAAAGGCGTGGACCCGGAAAAGCCACCTTTTGCCCCACATTATGACTCGCCCTCCGATGCACGCCTCGAAAAAGAGCTTGAGGCCTTCGGAGCGCTGCCTCACGCAGCGCCAGCAATGAGTGACAAGAGACCTGGTGGTCGCAAGCCTCCTGCTTTAAATATGCATGCGGTGCGGGATGCAGAGGCTCGTGGGAGCCTTTCCAGCCTATCTGATTTGATTCGGAGGGCGACAAAGCTCGCATCTAATCTGGATCATGGGAGAACCGCCAGCAAAGCTAATAATCTGGCTGGTGGCGATGAGGCAGGGTTCAGGGCTGGGATGGGTGAGTCTTTGGGATCTAGATCACCACTTGGAATCTTGAAATAGTACTAACTGCCTGTGTGTTCTTAGGACACCGACCACGCAAGTCCGGCTCTCTATCGGACATGCTCGCCTCCTTCCCTCCACCGGGTTTGGCGACACCCGAAGGTCGCGGGTCTCGCACATCATGGCCCTTCTTTGGACGCTCTAACTTGCGTAATGTTGAGCAGCTTAATTCCAGTGATGACGATCCAAATGCTCCCCGACGCAAGAAGATGTGCTGCGGAATTCCACAGAAGATCTTCGTGATCCTCTGCATCGTACTCTTCATCATCATCGTTCTCGCGGTTCTTCTCCCTGTGTTCCTTGTCGCCGTGCCCCGCGAGAAAGCCAACTCGTCCTGTGCTGAAAAGAACCCGTGTGAGAATGGAGGCGTGAGTGTCTCAGCCGGTACCCAATGCTCGTGCGTTTGTTCGAACGGTTATACCGGCTCGAAATGCAATATCGCGGGTGATAGTAGCTGCACTACCGCCCTGATAACTAACGGATCGAATGCGACCATGGGCAGTTCACTCCCTATTCTGTTCGAAGAATCCAAAGCAAAATTCGACATCACTCTCGACTCGGTCACAATCATGGCTCTCTTCAGCATGAATGACATCTCCTGCAAGACCGAAAACGCTCTCGTGGCTTTCAGCGAAGTTACAAATGACAACACGAGCAAGACCCGCCGATCTGTACAGTCGATAGCCGACTCGGTCCCATCCGTCTCCACAACTGACCCAACACCGGCCTTGGCTGTCCGTTCTGAGGCCACTATGAACGGAATCCTATACGACGACTCGGAATCAAGCAAGTCAAGTACGACCACGTCGACACCCACACAAACCGAGTCGGCGACGACCGCCTCCGCTACCAAGATCAGCGTTCAATCCACTGCCGTCAAGCCAGACACGTCCACGCCCACTGCAACCAGCGTTCCCGAGAACGTCGTTGGGTTCTCTCGGGTTGCGGTGTTGTATATTCTGCAGAAGACAGGCTCGCTTGACACGGCCCTGTCCTCAGAGGAAGACATTCAAGGGTACCTGGTCGATTCTTATGCGAACACGACTCAGCCGGCCCTGAAGGTGGGAGCGTTTAGTGTGGATTTTGAGAAGTTGACCATCACGCTTCCCAATAGCACGGTGAAGGCGCAGTGAGAATATGTAAGGAAAGGTGTATATAGGGTTATCTATATGGGTCTTGAGTCAATTTAATTATGTATATTTGGGTTATTAGCATATTCAACTATTCAATGTTGTCCCCGTGGACATGTATGTTGTATGTTGTACATACTGTAAGAGGCCGATCTGGTCCAGATTTAGGGTTTTCAGATCACCTGGCCGATCTTTGCCGAATTGGGAAATGGAACACCGGTAAATGTCGTGATTCCGCGCGGAGGTGACGTGCTTCATCACATGACCTCAGCCTCTGCAGATGTGGCGTTGGGCTAATACGTTTTGGGATATGTCTACGTTATACTCCAACGTTTGGACGTAGAGTATCAGAACCACATACTCCTATGGACTGATATGGACTTAGATATACTTGATCTTTGGAATGACAAGTCATGCATATGATGATCTTAATCAAAGGGATCGTCTATTTGCCCCTGAAAATCCAACCTCTCAGTACGGAGTACTCCATACACCAATTAAGGCCGTTGTAAGGCATATTTCCGCGGTGGTCGGTAACTATACACTCATATTCCAATTGTAAAGACCTACTCCGTACATTGTATATGAAACCCATTTAGAATTTCCCCCAAAAGATAATAATAGCCCTAAGATCCATAATAATAAAACAATAACCGCCTGTACCCCCGAGGAAATCGTCCAGCCAAGACTTCCACCGGTCCCCACTTGTTGACGACTTCTGTTGGATGTGGATGGTGCAATCCACACCCCTCCTACAGGAAATTTCTTGATAAGCAGTACCTTTTCCCTCTTTTTTTTTTCTTTTCTACTTTGTACATCACTCTTTTCATTTTACTTTTTGTGTCCTTTTTATTTTCATTATGGCCAACGCCCCTCACGGTGGTGTCCTCAAGGACCTTCTTGCCCGCGATGCTCCCCGCCAGGTTGAGCTCGCCGCTGAGGCCGAGACTCTCCCCGCTGTGACTCTGTCTGAGCGCCAGCTGTGTGATCTCGAGCTGATCATGAACGGAGGTTTCTCTCCCCTCGAGGGTAAGTGCAATTGTTTCTTTTGGGATCTAAACGTTCTTTTTTTTTTTGGTTTTTGGAGGAATATGGACAATAGAGGGGCAGTAACTAACCTTCATGCAGGTTTCATGAACCAGGCAGACTACGACCGGTATGTGCGACACGAATGATCCCATTGGAATGAGAAAACCCCTCATTCTGGACAAAAAAAAAAAGTCTATAACAGCGGCAGCTGACAATATGCATAGTGTCTGTGAGGAAAACCGCCTTGCCGATGGCAATGTGTTCTCCATGCCCATTACCCTCGACGCTAGCCAGAAGGTCATCGACGAGAAGAAGCTCCAAGCTGGTTCTCGCATCACCCTGCGTGATTTCCGTGACGATCGTAACTTGGCTATTCTTACCATTGATGACATTTACCGCCCCGACAAGTGAGTTTCACCTCTTTTCTCTCCATTTCATTTTCGAAACCGGTTGCACTGTCGATCTTTATTTCTGTACCCTCGGATACCTCGTTTTACCTTTAATATGGACGTTTGATGTCACATACCTCGAATCCTTACCCAATGAGTTGAGAGTGGCCTGTGCTATAGTGGGGCTCGCTGACGTGGTTCTCCCCTGATTTAGGACTAGAGAGGCTAAGCTCGTCTTCGGCGGTGACCCAGAGCACCCGGCTATCGTGTACCTGAACAACTCCGTCGAGGAGTTCTACATTGGTGGCAAGATTGAGGCCGTCAACAAGCTTAACCACTACGACTATGTCGCCCTCCGCTGTATGTTCAATTTCCCGTCCCGCTAGTGAATCTGGCTAATATATCCTTCACAGACACCCCCGCAGAGTTGCGCGTCCACTTCGACAAGCTGGGCTGGTCCCGCGTCGTCGCCTTCCAGACTCGTAACCCCATGCACCGTGCCCACCGTGAGCTGACTGTCCGCGCGGCCCGTTCCCGCCAGGCCAATGTCTTGATTCACCCCGTTGTCGGTCTCACCAAGCCCGGTGACATTGACCACTTCACCCGTGTCCGCGCATACCAGGCCCTCCTTCCCCGCTACCCCAACGGCATGGCCGTCCTGGGTCTCCTCGGTCTGGCCATGCGTATGGGTGGTCCCCGCGAGGCCATCTGGCACGCCATTATCCGCAAGAACCATGGTGCCACCCATTTCATTGTCGGACGTGACCACGCCGGTCCTGGTTCCAACTCCAAGGGCGAGGACTTCTACGGCCCATACGATGCCCAGCACGCCGTCGAGAAGTACAAGGACGAGCTCGGCATCGAGGTCGTCGAATTCCAGATGGTTACCTACCTCCCCGACACCGATGAGTACCGCCCCGTTGACCAGGTCCCCGCTGGCGTCAAGACCCTCAACATCTCCGGTACCGAGCTCCGCCGTCGTCTGCGCTCCGGCGCCCACATCCCCGAGTGGTTCTCCTACCCCGAGGTTGTCAAGATTCTGCGCGAGTCCAACCCCCCTCGCGCCACCCAGGGTTTCACCATCTTCCTGACTGGTTACATGAACTCCGGCAAGGACGCCATCGCCCGTGCTTTGCAGGTCACTCTGAACCAGCAGGGTGGTCGCTCCGTCTCCCTGTTGCTGGGTGACACCGTCCGCCACGAGCTCTCTTCCGAGCTCGGCTTCACCCGCGAGGACCGCCACACCAACGTCCAGCGCATTGCCTTCGTTGCCACCGAGCTTACCCGCGCCGGTGCCGCCGTCATTGCCGCCCCCATTGCTCCCTACGAGGAGTCCCGCAAGTTCGCCCGCGACGCCGTCTCCCAGGCTGGCTCTTTCTTCTTGGTTCACGTCGCCACTCCCCTCGAGTACTGCGAGCAGTCCGACAAGCGCGGCATCTACGCCGCTGCTCGTCGTGGCGAGATCAAAGGCTTCACTGGTGTCGATGACCCCTATGAGGCTCCTGAGAAGGCTGATCTCGTTGTCGACTTCTCCAAGCAGAGCGTGCGCAGCATTGTGCACGAGATCATTCTCGTTTTGGAGAGCCAGGGTTTCCTGGAGCGTCAGTAAAAGTTCTGTAAGGTTACGTGAGGCTTGGTGTCAATTATATGTTTTGCTGCACATGAGAAAATGTGCTGGGTCTTTTTTTTCTATGGATTCCCCTGACTTAGATAGTTTCAAGTTGCCAATAGATTTGGTTTGATGGTCTTAACTGCTACACTGTAACCAACCTTCGAATTTATTATCCCAGTGTAGATGAGTAGATCCATATTGTAGGGTGATCACTTTGAATATATAAAATCAAGTCTGCAATCATTGCAATCCTACAGTTCTTGGAGATGGAGAAGAAACACGAATAAATTACCGGTATTTACATCTAAAGATATATGTACTATACCTAGACCTTACTGTAATCTCTAAAGATCTACAAGAGACTAAAAAATCCAGGGAAAACCATGTTGAATGAGGCATCTACCCTGGCTATATCAGAGTTGATATCAGAGCAATCTCTCACTTTCATAACCATGATGCATAAACCAAAACTGAAGGAATCATGAAGCCACAGTAAAAATAAAATGCAAGGGGAACAGAAAAGCAAAGTGAAAAGGGGAAAAGAAGAACAAACGCCAGGGGGAAGCCAGAGGGAACGAACACTTGATGTCGTACAAGGGGGTAAATTTGCCCAAAACGAGTTTTAGCCAAAATAGAAAAGAATAAAGATTACCGAGGGGAAAAATTATCAAGTAGAATAGAAAGAATGGACCACTGAGAAGTGTCGAGGTCAACAAAGGATAGGAGAATAAAAGACTTCCCAGCTGTTGGTTGACAGTCCCGGGATTGGCAAAGAGCAAAAGAGGTGTTGCAAAATAAGTCGGTTCTTTCGAGCGAAGTCCAGGAGGTTGTTAACCATAGTATGACCAAACGTCAATCATTTCTTTGCTCCCTTGACAGATTTGATAACACGCCGAGCCGCACTCTTGACTCCCTTACCAAAGCCGCCTTTGGTAGTACTTTTAGTCTTGGGAGCAGGCTTCTTAGCCTTGACGGGGCTCTTGGCGGGTGTCTTTTTCACAGGTTTGCGGGGAGAATCTCCGGAGCCTTTAGAGGCAGCAGCGAGAATTTGCTTCTTGGTCTCAGCAGAAGGCCGCTTGAGCTGCGATGTGGTCTTCTTGGGAGAAGCCGGGGTTTCCTTGGCTGCCTTCTTAGATCGGGGAGCACGGACAGTGGCTTTGATCCGGCCTGTGGCTTTAACGGTTGGTAGTTTGACGTTGGTCTTCGACTTGACAGCGGTTGCGGTTTTGCCCTTGGCCGTTGTCTTGGTCGTCTTCTTCCCACGAACGGTAGCCACGGCCTTTTTTACGCTGGCCTTGATGACCTTGGACTTGGTTATCTTGCGCTTTTTGCCTCGAGAGGAGTCGTCACTATCGTCGCTATCGGACTCTTCTGAGGCTTTTCGCTTTTTGCCGATGGTCTTTTTTGTAGTTGCCTTCTTCGTGCCTTCCTCGGCCTTTCGTTTCTCGAGTTCTTTGGCACGTTGCTGCTTATCCTTCAGCCGTGGACCAAGGAAGCCTCGACAGTTCGCTGATCCACAGCGACATTGTTGAACATTCTTGTTAGAATAAGGGCTGATATAGTATTAGCACATGGTTAAGTGGCTTGATATGCAAATACTCACTCAAAGTTGTAGTCATAGCTCAATTCCTCTCCCGTCGAGACTCCTCTATCTCCAGCGAAGAGTGCCATGCGTGGCTTGCCAGCAACAGTCCACTTCTCCATACGGCAGTTTGGCTCACAGGCATGGTTAACAAAGCGAGCAATAGACCCGCGAGTAGCGTCAATGATCATGTTTTGATCGAAATACATGAGATAGTAACACTGGTTGACGAGGTCAATAAATGGGAAAGCACCAAGTGTCACAAAGGGCACATACGTCGTTGTTTTTGTATACTGTCCTCATCCTCTTCTCACACTCAAGCTGGGTGAGAATCTCGCCGGTGTACTCCACAATAATCTGGTTGGGCTCGAAGGAACGGTTGCTGCGGACGCCATACCCGCGATCTTTTGTCTTGATGACTTCGACTCCAATGTTATACTTGCCTCCGGCCTTGGTCCGATGCTTAAGACCCTCGAAATTCCGGTTACCGCACTCGGGACCCAGCCTGCAATTACCGTTGTCACACTCGTAGAACATATAGCGGTTCTGGCAGTTCTCATCACAGCCAGTGTCTTCAGTACACATACAAGTAGACAGCTCGAGGTTTTTGTTCGCTTTCCAAAAGCTTCCGGCATCACCGACAAAAACATCTAGACCGTCTGTTAGCCCTCACTTCATGATGTGAGATACTCTACATGCTACTCACTCTTGTTAGTTTTGCGCCACTCGTCGGGCTTAGGCTGTCCAGGTGGTAGTGGCGAGAATATATCAAACGGCAGCTGGTAGTCCCGTCCAGTCTTCAAAAGGCGAGCACCTTTGAACATCGGCATGGGAAGGATGGTGCGGTGCATGGGACCGGTTCCAGTTTTCTTCGAATTCTTACTCCGACGTTGCTTAGGAGGCGAGTCCGATGGCTCTTGTCCTGTATAGAGGCCGTGCGACAGCCATATCTTGCGCCTAGGTCGCGGTGGAGCAGGCACAGTCCGTTCCTCTGGTTCAGAAGCATCTTGATTTTGGAGCTTGGACAAGTCGCTCTCAGATACTCGACGTTTCTTCGATGCAGGTTCGTTGGCTGTTGAAGGAGGCGCCTCATCTTTCGACGGAACAATATTGCGCGGGCGAAGACTAGAACGCTGGCCAAGATCCTTGTCTCCCAGACCTCTCGTGCGCTTTCCTAATATACTGCTGGCCCGGTCGACCAGACCCGAAGCTTTATCCATTAGACCGAAGCGACCAGACCGCCGTAGAGATTTGCGAGGAGAGGCCCGGGAATGGACCAGCTCAACCGCGGCCGTTCCTTCGTCTTTGGTCAATGCTTTCCCCACACGCTTTCGTAGTGCCTGCTGCTGAAGCTTCACATTCATATCCTCAGATTGCAAATCCTGGGAAGACTTTGAAACCGGTGTATCGGGGGCCACAGTGTCGTCGGCCACGGTATCATCGTCGACTGGAGTTCCGTTCCGCAAGGAAGATTCCATCACTGCAATACTGTGGCGCAGAGAAGAGTGCGATCGTTTCGCTTTAGCAAGGCTGTCGACGTAGGCCTCGCTAGATGAGGCCGCGGGTTCCTCGTTCTTGGGTGTGTCGTCTAGTGGCTCACCAGGGCGCAACGATGCGCGTGCAACCCGTGTTGACCTTCGCCGTCCTGCGGGTTTTTCGTCGGTCAACGCGTTCTCGTTGTTGCTTGACGTTTCTGAGCGACTGTTTTCAGGTGTCAAGAGTTGTTCGGGCACGTCAAGGCTCATATTGTCATCGGTAGGCTCGTGAGCCTGGGCGTCGGGAGCCGCGGACGCGATGGATCGGGACGTTCGTGGCGCCATTTTCGAGAGAATAAGTTAACAAGAAGGACAATTCCACCTGGAATTGCCCCTTCGCTATCGATGTAGAGCAACTGGCGCGTGTGGTCGGGCTGGATGGGGAAATATCAGGGGAAGGTGTCGGATCGAAGAGGATCAGCTTCCCGCGCGCTTCTTATCAAGTTAGGGTGAGGGTCTGACGCGTGCAACAACACTTTCGAATACGAATACTCCAGTCGTATAATTTCCCGACCTAGTAGAGTACTAATGCAATAAAAAGAATGAAAAAAGCAAGGGAGAAGGGGAAAGAAAGCATCCCCTAGGGCTTACAGTATTAGATCTCGTGCCCTGGTGGAATGCCAAAATCCCTCACTCTCGCCCCCACATGAGCATGGGAGATTCTACGTCTGAGAGGTGGATATATAGATTATTCTAGCTGTGAACTTCACAGGATGATATCAAATGTCTAAACAAAGGTGAATATATAGTCCTACTAGGACATGGAACGAAAAGGCTGGTTCGGGATAGGGTTGCCCATTCCCATGTATGTAAGTCACAACAAGTAACAGGATGTAACAGGATAAGAAATAGATCATGAAAGATCAGTAGAGAGAGAGAATTATGTCTGCGCCAGGTGTAGCAAATCAAACAGAGATGACGACAAGAAGGGTATGTGTGCAATGTAGTGATTAGAAAGTGATAGATGTGTCCATGGGTGTGAATAGTCCCAGGAAGAACAAGAATAGGGGGGGAAGAAGAGGAAATCATGAAAATCTTCACAGATCGTAGCCGCCGAACCAAGAACCAAGATCGACAGGCCAAAAAAAAAAGACTTTTTGTTTTTAATCTTGTTGGGGACCAACATTTTGCATCTCAATACCTTGGGACTCGACATCTGGGACACGGTACTTGCGCTTTTGTGAGTCCAAGCGTTGATCGCCGTCTTCATATCGCTGCTTGAATTGCATGTACGTAGGAGGCCGAGGACGCCCAAGAACAGCAATCCAATTCTTGAGGATATTTCCTTGGGTGAACGGTCGATGGCGGTCAGTCTTGGAAAACTTGTGCGAATTGAGATATTCTCTGGTAGTTTCGCCACGGCCAACTAGGAACAGATGATATGCCCAAAGCGATGTAGGGTATGGTACTGCAACCAAGCCATATATCACCATGGCCCATGGCACTCTCCATTTGGAGATTGCAGCCCCAAATGATATGCTTTCCTGGGACCTGTAGACCAAGATATGTGCCAGACTAGCGCCGATCAAAAAGAGAGCCAAGAGGGTGCAAGAGCTGACGAAAGTAAAGAAATAGCGATAGTTTCGGCGACCAACACAATTGTTGAGCCACACGCAGTGATGGTCGAGGGTTTCGACACAGTTGTTGCAGACGCGGCAGTGATAGCAGCGAGGAGGCCGCCAAATATTACATGTCTTGCAGTATTTCACAGGCACGTCCATGGCAGCTACATCTGAAGTAGCAAGCTTGACCATGACCCAGTCATTTGTGGGCGGACCAAGCGCCAGAGGGTCGTCTGAGGAATCTGGCTGAGGCATAGGATGTACATTCCGGGGCATAATCTAGCAATATCATGTGAGCGGCCACGAAACTTAATCAAG